GAGAGAGAAAATGAGAGTTAGCACGAGAGGGAAGAGGGTCAGAGGGAGAAGCACAGTCCCTGCTGAGCAGGGACCCCGATGTGGAACCCGATCCCAGGACTCCAGGATCATGACCTGAGCCAAAGGCAGTTGCTTAACCAACTGAGCCACCCAGGCGCCCAGAAAGTAGATTTTTAAAAAAAAAAAAAAAGAAAGAAAAAAAAAAGGAGAGAATGTGATCAGGCAGGAGACTAGAACAAAGCCATACAGTAGTGATTTAGGGTATATTTTGATCTGTTAGAAGAAACTGTATCTCAAAATTTTAAAGAGAGAACAACTTATATACATATGCCAAAAATAAGGGTATCTACTATGAAGGGATACAATATGACTCTAAAAATGAAAAATAAAAATGTTTTTTTTTCAAAAAGGGATTGATAAGATGTTGGTTGAAAAAGGGAAAAAGAAAAATTAAAAAAAAACCCAGTTAAAATTAACTTTGAAAAACTAATGAATCATGGTAAAAAAAGCCATGAATTCTATGTGCGGTATTCCCCTAGTGCTGGAGTTCTCCCGTTCTCCTTGATCGGTAAACTTGGTCTTGGCTGGCTGTTCGTGCTGATCTTCTGGGGGAGGGGCCTGTTGTCATGGTTCCCAAATGTCTTTGCCGGAGGCGGAATTGTCCCTCCTTTCTGAGTCGGGGCTAAGCAATCTGCTTGGGTTTGCTCTCGGGAGCTTTTGTTCCCTGCAAGCTCTCGGTACAGCTTTGGAGGATGAGAGTGAAAATGGTGGCCTCCCAATCTCTGCCTGAGGAGACGAGAACTTGGGGCCCCACTCCTCAGTGCGCCCCCAGAGAAAAGCAGTCAGCCACTCCCGTCTCCCTGGTCTCCGGCTGCACTCCATGCTCACCGGCCTGTGACCGAGCGTTTCTATCTCTGGCACCCGACTGGGTGTGGAGTCTCCAAACCCAGCAGATCCCTGCGGTGCGCTCCCGCGCCGCTCCTCCTGGGGGAGGAAGGAGAATCTCCCCGGATCTGCAGCTTGTTGGGTCCCTGCTGGAGGAGCAGTGGCCTGACTGGGCTGCGGATCACAGTTTATGGCCACCCCGAGCTGAGAGCCCGCGCCTCGGCTCCGTCTCTGCAGCCAGCTTCCCTGCTCTGATACCTGGGAGCTCTGCCGCACTCAGGCACCCCTGGTCTTTCTGTGACCCCGAGGGTCCTGAGACCACACTGTCCCACGAGGGTTCCACCCCCAGCTTAGCCACTGCAGCGATATCCCTCAGCGGAGCCGACTTCTCAAAGTTCCGATTTTGTGCTCTGCGGCTCTATCACTTGCCAGAAGCGGCCGACGGAGGCCCCCTCCCCCACTGTCTGTCCTCCCCAATATCGCCTGGGATTCACTTCTTCACACGTCCTACCTTCCAGTAAGTGGTCGCTTTTCTGTTCAGAGAGTTGTTGCTATTCTTTTCTTTGATCTCCTGTTGAGTTCGTAGGTGTTCAGAACGGTTTGATCCCTATCCAGCTGAATTCCTGAGACCAGATGAAATCCAGGTCTCCTAATCCTCCGCCATCTTGCCCCGCCCCCCTGTATGGTATTCTTAATTTTATAAGAAACTGCCAAGCTGTTTTCCAAAGTGGTTGTACCATTTTGCATTCCCTCCAAAGTGTATTGAGTGTTGTTCTACATCCTTGCCAGTCCACGATTCTCTCTCTCTCTTTTCTTTAAGGCATTCCGCTAAGTGTGGAGTTGTATCTCATGGTGGTTTTAGTTTCATTTCCCTAATGACTAATGATGTTGAGTATCTTTCTCTGTGCTTTTTGCCATCGATATATTTTCTTTGGTAAAGTATATGTTCAAATCTTTGGTTCATTTTTTATATTTATTTATTTATAAAGATTTTATTTATTTATTTGACACAGAGAGAGAGACAGCCAAAGGGAACACAAGCAGGGGGAGTGGAGAGGGAGAAGCAGGCTTCCTGCCGAGCAGGGAGCCCAATGTGGGGCTCAATCCCAGGACCCTGGGATCATGACCTGAGCCGAAGGCAGACGATTAACGACTGAGCCACCCAGGCGCCCCTTTGGTTCATTTTTTAAATCCGTTATTTTTTATTGTTGGGTTTTGAGTTTCTTTGTAATTTTAGATACAAGTGCTTTATCAGATATGTGATTTGTAAAAATTTTCTCCCTGTCATGGCTTTCAAAGAGCAGACATTCTTAATTTAGATTACGTCCAGTTTATTTATTTGTTCTTTCATTGTGCTTTTGGTCTGTATATAAGAAATCATTGCCTAACTGAAGGTCACAAAATCTTCCATTTTTTTGGTCAAATTTTAGAATTCTAGGTTTTATATTTATACATGTGATCCATTTTGAGAATTTTTTGGTACAGTGTGAGTTTGGATAAAGGTTTTTGTTTTGTTTTACTTATCTGTTTGTTTTTTGCCTATGGGTATCCCATTGTTCCAGCGTTATTTATAGTTGGAAAGACTGTCCTTTATCCACTGAATTGACTTTTTGCCAACAGGACCTATATATTTAGGACTATTTCTGAATTCTATTTTTCATTCCATTCTTTTTCATGTTTATTCTTTCTCCAACACCGCTCTTTTGATTACTGTAACTTTATACTAAGACTGGATGTGAATCTTCTAACTTAGAAGAAAATGTGTATTCTGCTATTTTTTTGTGGTTTTCTCTTAATGTCAATTAGGTTAGCTTAGTTAATACTATTCATGTCTTCTGTACTTGGTAACAATTTGTCTACTTGTTCTGTCAATCACCGGGAGGTGTGTTGAAGTCTCCAGTTGTATTTGTAGATTTGTCTTTTTCTCCCATCAGTTCTGTCGGTTTTGGTTCATGGACTTTGAAGCGCTGTTGTTAGGTGCATACACATTTACATTTGCTATGTCATTCTGGAAAAGTGACCCCTTCATCATTAAGTAATGTCCATTTTTATACTCATTCTGAAGTCTGGCTGACATGTTATTGATATAGCTTTTTCTGCTTTCTTTTCATTAGAAATTGCATAGTATCTCTTTTCTGTAATTATATTTTTAGCCTTTATATTTAAATGGGCTTATTGTATACAGCATATAATTTGATCTTGATTTTTTAATCCAATCTGATGATCTCTATTTTTGAGAGCTTGTTTGGAGGTTCTAGCAGGGGAGCGCAGCTACTCGTATACCCTTGACCGAAGAACGGTCCTCTCCTCTATCGGGGAAGGTCGTCCTCTTCGACCGAGCGCGCAGCTTCGGGAGGGACGCACATGGAGCGGTGAGGGAGGAAGGGGACACCCGCCTAGCCAGCCAGATCAGCCGAATCAACCCTGGCGATCAATGGGGTGACAGATGTCGCAGCCAGATCGCCCTCACATCCTGATGATCTCTATTTTTAATTAATGTGTTTATAAAAGTTTATAGTCAGTGTAATTACTAGTGATTAGATTAAAATCCAGCATACTTTTAGCTATTTAATTTTTTAGTCTTTTGTTTCTTCCTCTCTCACATTTCATTTTTGATTATTCCATTTTAGCTCCATTATTGATTTTTTTATTACTGCTTTTTCAAATTATTTTATTCATTGCCCTAGGTTATACAGTATACATTTTTAGTTAGTCTACTGTTAGATAATCTCATAATACTTAACATGTAGTATAAGAATCCAACATTATTTTCCCAATTTCTACCCCAATCTTTGTGCTATTATCATACATTTTACTTTTACATATGCTATAAACACAATGCATTGTCAATAGTTTTGTTCTAGATAGTTATCTTTTGGGCAGCTAAAATAAAGTTGAATTTTATATTTACCTACATTTATTCCATTTCTAAAATTCTTTATTTCTTTGTGTATATGTTATGTCTTACCAAAGTTTTTAAAAATGCATTGAAATTTTTCTTCTCTACTAGCACAAACACCACCGGTCCCTGCCTTCTCCTGACTCTGTTAAAAATGGATTGTGAATAGACAGCTAGGAATATGTTTGATTTTTAGAATTCTTTTGTTGCTTACTTAGAATTTCAGAACCACAGGATTGAATGTGTCATAAGAGTCCTTTGGCCTAATTTTCAAAGTGTGACAGATTTACTTCAACTGATCTTATTTTAAGATTTATCTAAAGTTCTCTTTCTGAGGTTGTAACTTAAGCCTGCTTGGTCTATGGGCTTCTGTCTCTATTTCATTGTCCTGCTGTTGTGTGAGGAAAAGGATCATCAGGACCACACTGTCTGCTTTTTAATGTTCTCCTTTTAGTAACCTCACACATGTATGAAGACAGTTACTGAGCCCCTTCTTGCCATTCCCCTTTACAGGTAAAAAACATTCTGTACTTCTTTGAGTTTTTTTTTATAGAAAGATAGATCTACTTTTCCTCTATATGTCTTTAACCATTTCTATAATATTTTCTCCTTCATATCTCACATAATTATTTTTGTTAGGGCATATGTAAATAAGTGGTAGCAGTGTTCACCAAGATGAAAGAGCCAGCCAGAATCTCTGTGGGGCTAATGTTGGCACTGGGAGAATGCCAGGGCACCAAATGAATTGGTGTAAATTTACAGGGTCCCCTGTTCCTTTGCCAAGTAGTGCTCACTGTCCTTACCCTTACAGCCCCATGCTGAACTTAAACCCTCTCCCTGAAGCCGTATGGCTAATTTTACTCCAGACACATACCTTTAGGAAAGCTCAGGGACTCTGAAATTTGGTGGATGTCGTCCAAAAGCTGTGTTCACCTGAGGACGCAGGTTATTCCAGAGCCTACTGAATGGAGCAGCCCTGGGCATGTTACTTGTGTAGGGATGGGCCAGGAGGAAAAGAACAGACTGGAAAACCTAGAACTTTTCTGAGAAAACTGTATTCAGTTGTGAGAAAAAAAATACAATTGGGCTGGTTCCTATAGTAGAACTTATAAACATTTGTCGGTTATGAGGGTAACTGCAAGACTTATTTTCAAGCTTTCCCCTTGATTTCAGGTTCAGAGCGTAACATTTTCTTTTTGTCTTTTTCCCCCTCAAGGGGTGCTACATCCATTGTGTACAGATGCAAACAGAAGGGGACCCAGAAGCCTTATGCTCTCAAAGTGTTAAAGAAAACAGTAAGTTTATTTCATTATATAACAGCATCTCTAAGGGATCTGTGACCTGGAGAAGCCAGGAGCCCTGATTCACAGGACAGAGAGGCCAGAGAAATGCTGTGTGCAGCTAACTCACCTAAATCCTGAGTATGAGAGTGCAGCCAAATGGGTTGTTTTCTGATGGAAACTGCGTGACTCTTTGAAAGCGACTGGATCTCAGGCTGGATGTGGTTGTGGGGAGAAGTGTGGTAAGGAGAAACCTTTAGAGCTGGCAGGTCAACCTGGTATACTTTGTATACCAGTCATGTTTTCAGCTATATATGTGTACAGCTATAGAATCTCCAATCACAGTTTAATATACTAGAAATGCTTGCTGTTTAAAAAAATACCTAAATGAAACACAAATAGCTGTATTTGTGAAAGGAGTCATCAGCTTCTAACTTGTTGGGTTTGCTTCAGTGAAGTGCAACTAGACAAATGCTGTTGTTTCTAGGACTGAGCCTGCTCATTTAAGATGTCTCTGTTTGAACAAGAAGGAAGGATTGGGTTTTCATATTGCTTCTGTTTGCCATATACTCGTAGGCGAGCCAAGGGGGCAAAGTTATTCAGACTCATCTCCAGTGAGTAAGAAGTGCAGCAGGTAAGAGTTCATGATAGAAATGGCAGCATCTAACACCAGCATTCATGGTAGTCCCTGCATCCCAGAGAGGGTTTGTCATAGCAATGCACTACTACTCTCTGCCTTGAAAGAGTTGCCCTTTATAAAACCACAAAAACACAACATAATCTTTTATAGCACATTCTTCCTTTCTAAATTCTGTGGGAACACATATGTGAAATATATATACTTCTGAAAGTAAAGTATGCTGAGGAGAGAAATAATATAAATTTTGAAATCAAATGATACCTCTTTTAGGACAAGGGTTTTTTTTTTCTAATATCACCAGTTGTTTATGTATTGTCTGGCACAGGGAAATTTTAGAATCTCATATAATGAAGAAGAGAATAATGGCATGCGGTTTTCAATTGAGTAAAAGTAGAATGACATTTTGAAACAATCTGTTAGAATTTAAAGCCAGAGCAAACTAACAAAGACAGTTTAATTGAAGAATAATTTAATGATTTAAATGGCAGTTGCTACTAGAAACCCCATATTCTAGATTTCCTATTTGGTGTAGGCAATGATTTAAGTTACTCCAGAATGTAAGGAATCTTTTGATTGATAAGGTTTGGAATTTTCTCTTAAATCAATTTCTTATAGTCATAACATTTATTTGAACTAAGGATTATTAAAATTTTATGAAATGGAACTTCCAAGTAAATACCTACTTTTTAGGAAAATAAGTTGGCGTGCTTTAGTAGTAGTCACACAAGAGATGTTTTTGGACTTCATTTTATCCTTTGTTGCTGGTTAAAAAAAAATTGTCAGTAAAATTTGTGAGCGGTTGTTTTGTTTTCATAGTTGAGGAAACTTTGAAAGGGACTAGCTGTATGAATGTCTAGGAGAAGAAACACTTAGAAATGACATGTGAATGCTCAGAATCCCAAAGGACAAAGGGCTGGTTTAGAAAATATTGGTTATGCCAAAAATCTTTGGTTGAATTGGAATAAGAGACAGGAAGACATTTGGTGGGTTCGTGACTCATTCATTGGGAAAGTAAAGCTCTAGTTTGCCCTTGCTGTCTTCTCTTCTCCACCTCTGTTGTGGAAACATCTTCCTCAGAAGACAGGCGGGAAGAAAATGTGGACGGGAACCAAGTGTCAGATGGAGATGCAGAGCGGTGCTGTAAGGCTAATGTTGTCAAACACAGTTACTGCTGTGCCAAAGGGAATGAGAGGAAATCCCCTGGAGAAACCCAAGCTTTGAACGTGAATGGGGTGGGATCTCCAGCATTGTCTCCTAGGATAAACCATGCACAGAGATGTGTAAATGAGAGAAATAGGCGGCAAAACCTCAAAAAGCAGTTGCCTCCAGTGTTTCATTTCATATAGGTCATGAAGGCAGAAATTCCTTATCTAAATGAAATGAATGAAGCCTATGAATCTCTTTACAGAAGAAAAGCAAAACAAGGAAAACAAAGTATTTTCCTAGTGAGTTCCATTAAAGATCTGTTCTTTCAGGGAAAAGGGGGCTTTAGAAATTGAATTATTTGGGCTCCTGGGTGGCTCAGTTGGTTAAGCGACTGCCTTCGGCTCAGGTCATGATCCTGGAGTCCCGGGATTGAGTCCCGCATCGGGCTCCCTGCTCAGCGGGGAGTCTGCTTCTCCCTCTGACCCTCTTCCCTCTCGTGCTTTCTATCTCTCATTCTCTCTCTCTCTCTCTCAAATAAATAAATAAAATCTTAAAAAAAAAGAAATTGAATTATTTATGTAATATATTTATTAGATTGAGCCACAAAAAACTGCCTCTCTTAAATCATTTTTTTTACCTACAAAAATGGCAGTTTTACGTGGTTCACCTAATAACTTTGGGACCACTATGCTACTTCATTGGATAGTTCCTCGAGTCCTCATTTTATGACTAGACCTAAACCTAAAAGGTCTGAAAGATTGTCTATCTGTCTGTCCGTCTGTCGTTCTGTCATCAGCTATCTGTAAGAATTTCCTGGGTCTGGTGTAATAAACCACCACAAACTGGGAGGCTTAAAACAATGGAAATTTATTCTCTTACAGTTCTGAGGCCAGAAGTCTGAAATCAAGGTTTTGTCAGGGTCAATTCTTTCTGAGAGTGCTCAGGGAGAACTTGTTCCATGCCTCTCTCCCAGCTCATGGTGACAGAAGCTTGCCCTGCAGATGGGTCACTCTAATCTCTGCCTCCATTGTCACATGGCCACCTTCTCCCTATGTGTCTGCATCTCATCTTTCCTCTGTGCATTGTCTGTGTCCAAATTTTCCTTTTCTTAGAATGACACCATTCCTATTGGGTTAGGGACTGACCCTGCTCCACTATGACCTCATCTTAAATGAACTCATATCTACAACAACTCAATTTCCAAATCACATCACTTTCAGAAGTACTGCTGGTTAGGACTTCAACATATCTTTTTTGGGGGGACACAATTCTGCCCATAATACCATCTATAAGAGAAGACTTCCAAGGTGAATTTCAAAATATGCCATTCAATATTTTATCTGAAGATAAGTGAAACTTACATCACATTCAAGAAAGTTAATAAACCTAAGAAAACTCATCCAGTTTATAGGTGATTAAATTCACATATGAACATTTTTAAGTTCAAGAAAGATTTCCCATCTCTTTTACAGTCAGTTATTTGATAACAATAATCTTCTTTCCCAGGATCTGTTTAAATACTTTTTCAATATAGTCTACCCAAATTTTATTTTGTGGCAATGTTATGTCCTTTCTCATTGCTTAGTATTTCAGGAAGGATTTAGTTTACATGTGGCAATAAGAAACTCCTAATTCTTCACTGAGAATCCATTAGGCACTCACATATCTGGGTGATAGACAGTGACTCTAATTTACCCACAGGAAGACAGACTAAAGCACGAGCCCTTATGGAGAAATCCATTATCTCTTTGGTTGTCAGGTACAGGACAGAGTTAATACTGAAAATAAACACGAATTGTCATGTTTAGACAATTGAGTATTTTGACTAATAAAATATCTGTATGGGAAATTAACATGTAATTATAATAAAAATATTTTTAATTGCCAGATATTTTATATATGGATATAATACCATGTACTTTTTATATATAGATAATGACATTTCATAGAACTAGTATACATTAAAATACATATTAACCAAGGTAATAATGCCTGCAACTTACTTTCAGATAGATAAGCAACAAAGAAGTGTGTGAGTATGTGTGCGTGCATATGGGGAGAGAAAGAAAATATGGCAAAAATCAACAATTATTGAATATAGGACAATATACTAGCATCCATGCTGGTATCTCAACATTTCAGTATATATGAAAATACTCATAACCAAGAATTTGGGTTAAAACATACTTCAACATTGACATCCTATGTATCATAACTTAGCATTTCTTCTGGCCATTCAAAAAGCATTTCAAAATCTTGCAGTTTCTAACTGTTATGATAAACACCAGTGACTCTCTCTATTATAGATGTATTGAAGTGCCAGAAAACAGAACATTATAGTTGAACCAACCCTTTACCCTAAAACCTGGACATTTCCAGAAGCAATATCTATTCATCTCATTGTGTCATTAATCAAGATAAAGCTTTGAGGACAGTAAGAGCAAACAAGAGAGGAATGAAAAGCTTTTGTGCTCATGTATTTGTTTAATTTTTTTCCGCTAGTATTCATGGTCCTCGTACTGCAGTAGTCCTCATTTCTCTTGGAGTGGCATCCATACTGTCTTCCTGGGAAAAAGGTGGCCGGTTTCGTAACTTTAATTTTGAAACAAGTACAGATTCACAGGCAGTGCCATTTTGGTCACCCGTAAGTTCTTTATCGCCTTGCATACAAGAACTAAGTGATTGCATGCATCAGTGGAACTTGTACCATGAACTTTGTAAAACATGAATCAAGGGTGAAGGGCACAAGGCTAACTTTTTTATTCTTTCATTCATGAGCCCATTATCATCTCCATTTCATGTGGTACTTCGAAGAAATTGAAGTAGAGGAAAAGGATTTACTAAACTACTTCCTCAGATTAACAACTTTGGGGCATTAAAAGATTCTAACAGATACAGCTATTAGGACAAGCCGTGATTTAGAAGATGGAAACTTTTCTGGGGGAGCAGTAAATTGTAATTTTTTTATTGGAAAACAAATACACAACTTGGAATGGATTTGAGGCAAATTGTGCCATAAGCAGATTTTCTATAAGTGGCTAAATAAAGTTTAAAAGCCAGGAACAATAAAAGAAAATGTTTCTGGTACTGGACCAGCAGTACAAAAAAATAGTGTACGAGTACCTGGATAATATACCCATTTTGCAATAGTGCAACTTTTAAGTGCATATTGTTGACTGTCCATAGTCCACACAGAGTTACAATGCCACACTTCAACAACATGCTGACA